AGTTCATTTTGTTTCCCTAAAGAAATTTTTCCCAACCTTGGCAATTTAAAAAGGGGTAGCTTTCAACTGCAAGAATTTCCCAGCCAGCATGGGTAATTCTGGGAGTTGAAGTCTACCCATCTTAAAGTTGCCAAGGTTGAGAAACACTGGCCTAGAGGGTGGAATGAGCCCAAACGTTGGCAAGGAGACAACCAGCATGCAGGTCCAAGAGGCATTAAGCCTTCAGAAGTGAGAGGTCCTGCAAGGGAACCATGGCTAAGCTTCCTCCATAGCATATGTCCTACGGGGGTGAAAAAGCATTGCCCCTTTCAGGAAACTGTCAGGTTGCATGACGCAGTCCCTGACCAAGCCTTTGATCACTGAGAATCCAACCCATTCAGCTCCTCCACCATTGCTGTGTTCTTCTTGTACCTGTGTAAATCTGGTTGTAGTTCTGTACGGTTGTTATTTTAATACTGGTACTGAAATCGAGACATTTTCAACCTTTGGGCCTGAATGTCAGAAAGTCAAAATAGGTTGTCTGTTTAAAACCAGAAGCCTCTTATTTGTCTCTGAAGGGAAATGGCCCCTTAACCCTCCCTGCTTGTTGGAGAGTTGGCAGCAGCTTTGATTGAGCGGATTTGAATCGGCATCAGACTCATGATCACCCACTGTATAAGAAACAGGGCTATCCAAAAAGAGCTATGCTAGCACATGAAAATCAAACAAAGTATATTATAGCCTCTTTGTGACCAGGGACATCCACTGGGTGGGAAGTGTCAATAAAGGCAAAATGACAGTTGTGATTCTTCAATCAAACATCTGCCATTTTGACTTTTTGCCTCCCCTCCAATAGTCGTCCCTGTTTGAGACTCTCCTTCCCCCTATTTTTTCTTTTTCTTCCAAAACATTTTTTATGTTTACATATGTTAACATAATTTTCATTGTTTTCCCCATAAAAAAGCAGAAAAATGGTGTGTTCTGGACATTAATTTATATTGTTAGTTTGCATGGATTTTGTCCCTCACTGCAGAAAGGCTATTTATCTTCTCTCTATTTCTTAGAAAGCTGGATCATAAAAGTGGGAGGGAGGG